GAGAAAATATTTGCAAAGATGTGTCTGACTCTTATCCACATACACAAAGAACTCTTCAAACTCAACAGTATAAATGACCAACCGAATTAAAAATGGATGAAAGATCTGAACACACTTCACCAAAGAAGATATACAAATGAGATATAAGCAAATGAAAAGATGCTCAACATCACATGTCATTAGGAAATTGCAAGTTAAGACAATGAGATGCCACTATGCCCTATTAGAACAGCCAAAATCCAAACACTAACAGCACCAAATGCTGGTGGGGATGTGGAACAGCAGGAGCTCTCATTCATTGCTGGTAGGAATGCAAAGTGGTATAGCCACTTTAGATGGCAATTTAGCATTTTTTTTTACCAAACTTAACATACATTTACCATACAATTCAACTATGGTACTCCTTGGATTTTACCCAAGTGAGTTGAAATTTTATGTCCACATAAATGCCTGTACATGGATATTTATGGCAGCTTTATTCATAATTGCCAAAACTTGGAAGCAACCAAGATGTCCTTCAGTAGGTGAGTAGATAAATAAACTCTGGTACATCCAGACAATGGGATATTATGCAGCACTAAAAAGAAATGAGCTATCAAAGCATGAAAAGACATGGAGGAAATTCAAATGTGTATTGCTAAGTGAAAGAAGCCAATCTGAAAAGACTGTCTGCTATAGGAGTCTGATTTTATCATATTATGGAAAAGGCAAAACTATGGAGACAGTAATTTCTAGCAGTTGGTTGAGAATGACGGATGAATAAACAGCACGGAGGATTTTTAGTGTAGTTAATTCATTCTGTAAGACACTAGGATGGTGGGTACATGTCATTTGTCAAAACCTATAGAATATACAACACCAAGAGTGAACACTAATGTGAGCTACAGACTTTAGGTAATGATGTGCCAATGTAGGTTCATCCTTTGTACCACTGTGGCGTGGGATGTTGTTAGTGGAGAAGGCTATGTATATGGGGGTATACGAGAAATCTCTGTACCTTCACTTCCATTTTGTTGCAAGCTTTAAACTGCTCTAAAAAATAAAGTGTATTTTAATAAAAAAATAAAAGCAAAATCTCTCTTCAGTCACACTTCTTTGGAGTGTCATATTATTCATACCAGAACCCTGACTAATATATCCAGCCATCCATTGACTCTCTCCAGCGCCAATGTTGCTGATTTCTGATCACAGAATGCACACATGAAGTATTTGAGTTTTCCTTCCAATGGACTCTGAAGTCTATTCATTAGTTATTAAATATATTACCCATCAACACTTGGTACCTCATTATCCATAGCAGTTGTCCAAAAAGTTTCTACCTCGATCTATTCTAGTATCTATTTCCCTTTTTATTCAGTGAAAACTAACACAAACTCATTCAAGTTCCTTCTCCTCTATGTCAAAATGTAAGTATATTTTCATTTCTCCGCACCCACTGCCTCCCCATCTCTCCCTCATTCCCAGGATGGAGGTGCCACCTTTCTTGCCCAAAATTAACCCTCGTAACCAGTCTCTTGATTCTCTTTCCTGTGTAATTTGGTCCATCAAACCATCAGAAGCTTCCTCTCCACTGGATTCATAGTCTCAGTTTATTAAGTTTGCTACCATCGTAATTATTGGTTTCTCAATTTTTTTGCTTTCTCCTCAAGCTATAATCCTCTCTACTCTTCAGTGTCGACCTCTCAAAGGGCAGTCTGAATTCACAGAACTCTTCCTTATTTGCATTCTCTCCTCAACTCACTAAAACTCTGGCATCAGCACTGCTGTTATCAGCCTCTTGAAAATAAGATGACCTTCTTATTTTCTTGTTCAGCTGCCATTTTAAAATTTTATCCTATTTAGTTTTTCTGTGTCCTTTAACTATATTGATCTACTCTCTCCTTGAAGTTCTCTCCTCTGTAGCTTTCATGATGTCTATTTTTTTTTCCTCCTGTCTTTCTCACTGTGCCCAACCTCAGTTATCTCTATGATGGTAGTCAATGGCACCATCACCTCCTCAGTGGATGTGGAGAAAATGGAGATTTGAGAAATTTTAAGGAAATTAAAATGACATAAGTTAGTGATGGAGTGGATATGGGAGGTGAGAGAGATGGAGATTTCTGGTGTGTACAATTAAATGGATGGTAATGTCAGTCAATGAGATAAGAAATACTAGACAAATTTTAGATTTTGTAAAGAATTCAAATATTAACTAGATTATTCACACAAATAAATACATAAGCATAAGTGGTATAAAAATTATGGAAGAATCTAATTAAGAATTCCATGGTAGGAATAAGACACTATTCTTATCACTAGATACAAGTCCTATATCAGATATGTGATTAGCAAATATTTTTTATAGTCTGTGGCTTATTAAATTTTCTTAATAGTGTCTTTTGCAGAGCAAAAGTTGGTAATTTTACTGAAATCCAACTTACCGATTTTTTTCTTTCATGAATGCTGCTCTTGGTATTGCATCTCAAAACTTATTTCCAACCCCAAGGGCATCTATATTTCCTCCTATGTTATCTTCTAGGTGTGTTACGGCTTTACGTTTTACATTTAGGTCTGTGATCCATTTTTAATTAATATTTGTGAAAGGTGTAAGATCACTGTGTTGAGTCTCTTTTTTTTCACACGTGGATATTCAGTTGTTCTAGCACCATATACTGAATGAATATTCCTATCCTAGGAAATTTACCATCTAGTAAAGAGAATAAGACCAGTATACAAAGGAATGACTAAAATGACACTTAGCTAAGATATTTGTCCTGAAGGGTATATAGAATTGTGCTGGGGGAGTTAAAAAACAGGTGGCATTTGAGGCAGACTATGAAAAGTGAGTGAGGTTTCATCAGACAGGTGGGGCTGAGGAGGACATAACAAAAGCAAAAGGACAAGTGAAGAAAGCACAGGGATGTAAAGTGTAGGAAACAGGAACAAGTCCAGTTAAGCTAAAGTATAAAAAGGTTTTGTGGCAAATAACACTGGAAAGACAGATTTGGACAATATCATGGAAAGCCTTGAATACAAGAACAAGGAGTTTCATTAATCTAGTCATTCAACAAGTATTTGTGGAGAGCCTGTCACATCCCAGGCATGGTAATAGATGCTGGGGACACAGTGAACAACACAGGTACTCTGTCTCACCATGACAATCTGATCTAGATTGTCATTAGATTCATTTGTGATCTAATGGGAGAAGACAGACAATAAACTCTATGAGGCTGGGCACAGTGACTCACACCTGTTACCCTAGCACTTTGGGAGCCCAAGGTGGGAGGATCGTTTGGGCGTGGGAGGATTGTTTGAGGTCAGGAGTTCAAGACCAGCCTGAGCAAAAACAAGATCCCTTCTCTATGAAATATAGAAAAATTAGCCAGGTGTGGAGGAGCATGCCTGTAATCCCAGCTACTCTGGAGGCTGAGTCAAGAGGATTGCTTGAGCCCAGGAGTTTGAGGTTGCAGTGAGCTATGATGATGCCACTGCACTCTACCCAGGGTGACAGAGCGAGATCTTGCCTCAAAAATAAATAAATAAATAAACTGTATGATAATATACAAGAGGTGGTGAGGAGAATTGGGAGGAAATTCAAAGGGTAAAAATAGAGTAGGAAAAGGCCAGTGGGAGGTTCTGGAGAGAGGGTGCTAACTTACGTGCATTTGCCAGGAAAGGGCTGTGATCACTGTCATATTGAAAAGAGGCATGTGGGACGTGAGAGGGAGCATTACAGATACCGGGGAAAGTGCGCTCCAGGCAGAGGGAGCAGTGAGTAGCGGCATGGTTAACATGTTCGCAAAGTAACAGGACACCAGTGTGGATGGAGGAATGGAGTAGGGGGACATTGGAGAGAGGAAACATTAGAGAAACAGTAGAGGTGTTGGGGGACGGTGCAGATGCACAAATCATATAGGGCCTTGTAGGCCGTGGTGAGTCTTTGGAAACTGCTTTGAGTAATAATGGGAAGACATCAGGAACTTCGAGCAGAGTAGTGACGTGATCTGACTTGTGTTTTAAGGACTGCTCTGGCCGCAGTGCAGAGTGTCAGAAGGTTAAGGTGGCAGCAGGGGCCATGTGGGAGGCTGTTGCAGGAGCTAGAGAGAGGGGGGCAGTGAGAAGTGTCTGGGCCTAGCTGTGATTTGATGGTAGAGCTGGCGGGCTTTGTGTATAGACGGCATCAGGGGTGTGAGAAAGAGAAGAACCCAGGGCGTCTCTCAGGTTTTTGTCCTGAACGGAGCCACCATTGACTTAGATCAGGAATCATGAGGTAGGGCAGGTCTGGGCCAGGGTACTTAAGAGCATGTTTGAGATGTGTGAGGTATGCCTACCGGACTTCCAAGTAAAGTGGCAAAGGAGCGGTTGGATGCAGGAGTCTGCGGTTGTCAGTGCATGTGCGGTATTTAAAGCCATCAAACGAGGGAATAAATATAGAGAAAAAAATAGCTCCAAGAACTGAAGCTTGGGAGACCCCAAAATGTGACAATCAGAAAGATGAGAAAGAACCAGAAAAAGGTACTTAGATGCAGATACCAGTGAGGGAAGGAAGGGAATCCTTGCAGGAAGCGCTAGATGCTGCCGGCAAGTGATGTAAAATGAAGACTTAAAATTGACCATTGGATTTAGCGACATGAAGGTCATTAGTGTCTTTAAAAGCTGCTTCCATGGAGTGTGGAGATTTCCAACAAAATTGGAAATGTAATGAATTCCATCAGACTCACTACTTTGCAGCAGATTAAATCGCCCATGAATGTAGAGGAAGCTTTAAAGCAACTTATATATACGATCATTCTTGATGGAATCTTTAGTTTATCCACAAGGTAAGTTTTGTATGTTACATTTTTTTCCAATGGAGAGGAGAAAACAAACAGCAAAGCTCAAATATATAGGATATTTTCTGGTAAGTTATCGTTGAATTTATTAAATGGCTTCATAGAGGTTTTTCAGTCTTATATGTGTCTAAAACTTACTTCCAATATGTTCAGTAATAAATGAAAATCAGAAAGTTTTTTTCTCCACAGACACGAACGCATTCACACCAAGAAAGGTAACTTCAACAGATCTCTAATTTCCAGACTGAAGGATGTAGATGATTTAGCAACCCTAGAAGTTTTGGATGAGGTAAGAATTCAGTTTAATTAAACTTAGACATTCTATACTCTTTTGATTTTTTTTTAATTTATAGGGGATGTGGGCATTTATTTCTTTGAATAACATCTGTAAGTCTTATGCTTTCTTTGTCTCTTAGCTTCCAGTTACCTCTCTAAATCTTCAGTTTTAATAAATAGAACTCAAATATCCAGATCTTTCCAGCCTAGTGTCAATATTTTTTTTTTTGATGCTCAAGTGACAAAGATATGGGGTTCCCCAGCATGAGTTGTTAGGTCACACATCTTTTTTGTCCTTAAGCAATTCTGGGAGTCTCAATGGTATGATTTTCCGTGTTCAGGAAAACAGTCTGCCCCTGACAACCACCACGTGGCAGCCTCCCCTCTCCTGTCCCCACTCCGGGGGCAGTCCCCGGGCACCACAGTCAGGGTCCCCTTTGTGGAATCACAGAGCCCTGCTCTCACACAACGCACATTTCAGGGCGTTGAATTCCGTGTGGAACACTTATTCCAGGTACCTTGAAAGTATGTCAAACATTTCTTGTGAGGTACAAACCCAAGCCACTAGGTTACAGTTTCAGTCTCCTTTCCCCTCATTCCTCTTTCTTCCAGACAGTCGGATCATTAGAAAAACAAATGGCCTCTTTTTAATAAACCTTGGGACTTCTGTCCTGCCTAATCGACAGCTTTTTATTTATTTACTTACTTACTTTTTATGTCAAAGTGTTATGGAGATACAAATATTTTTGGTTACAAGGATTGCATCTGTAATGCTTGAGTTGGGGTGGTAAGTGTGCCTGTCGCCCAGAGAGTGTTCATTGTGATTAGCTTTTTATTTTTTAATACTTCTAATCCATGCCTGAGCATTTTACTCAGAAATGCAACAAATCGAGAGACATATCCTGAACAGAAGTAGTCATTTGGTAAATTTAGGGTTGCAAAAACAACTCAAGTACTTCCTCAAAATAGTCTCTCTCAGGAACATCAACGGTCTTGAAATCAAATAGTGTTTGCAAGTCAGAGATTGCCGACACCATCCTGAATCCTTACATGTCAGATTTTCCAATGGTGGGAGTTTTAGCCTTGTGGGTTATAAGGAAGGTTTCACTAATCATGTTGCTGACAAATGTATTAATATTTTAGATACTGAGTTTATTTCTTTCTGTTGTCTGTGTTTTATCTTTTGTTTCTTTTTTAACCTAAGAATTTTTTTTGTTCCTCTCTCGTGTCATGTACTATAAATGATGATTTCTGACAATACCAAAACTGATTCATGTACTTGTGTGATTTATCAACTATGAAAGTTACTTTTCTGGATTTTTCACACTGCCTCATAAAGCCAAAAGTCTGAAAAAAAAAGACTAGAACATTCCACAAAGCCATTGAATCATTAAATCACCTTGATTTGGAATAAAATCATGTTCATGTTCACTTTATCTTCCCTTTCCTTTTCTCTTTACTTCATACACTGCATTTACTTATTTCTCCAAAGGCAATATAATTTATACATATATTTTATATATACATACAAAATTGCTGTAACATATAATATGTCCTTTGTAAAGTGCAAGTAACAATGACATTCCTCTGTGGCACTCAAAACAAAAGAAAATACCTGTCAGGTGAACAGGTGGTTCCAGACCAGATGTTACATTTCTTGCTATCGATACGTCTGTTTCTTTCAAATCCTTGGTCCAGATTCCAGATGTTTTATTTATTGTTGTTTACTTTTTAAGTTATAATTGACCACCAATGATTTTTAAGAAAGAGAAATTACTTTATTTTGTTACAGAATACAGTCTCTGAGCAACTTGAGAAGTGTTATTCCAGAGATCAGATCTATATCTATGTGGGAGATATACTCATTGCTCTTAACCCTTTCCAGAGTCTAGGTCTTTATTCTACAAAGGTATGTGGTGTGGTATGCATTCTTTACTTCGTACAAATAATTATGCGTTCAGATGCTCAATTTAAATGAATGCCTATAAAAAATTTATTCAGTACTTTAATAAAGTTGTACAATTATTGTTAAAACATAGAGATGGGAAACAGAAGATGAAGTCAATCTGGGTACAGTTGGTGGTATTGTATTTTCCAAAAGTATGTGTCAGAATGTTAATTGCATCCAGTTGCTCATAACTGTTCCACATTACATATCATATCACTAAACAGATGCCTTAAAAAATGTGTACTTAATGTCTGCCTATGAACCAACTATCAGAGAGTCAAAAATATAATTGCATTGTTTTCATAGATAATACATACTTAATGGCTGTAAAAATTGTCATTATGAGTTTAAAAATTCCTTTTGACATATTGATTGGGTTCATTAATATTACACAATATGTTTTATGAGTATAAGTATATAATTATCAATTATTCAACCCCTAATGAAACCATTAGGGGTTATATTCTAATGAAAATATAGAATAATTTTCTGGGATTAAACTAGCTGTTTTTCATTTTTAATGAAAGAGAAACCATTCTCTACTATTTGTTTACCCTAGAAAATTATTTGATAATGTATCTAATAGTTTTTTTAATATGCAAAAAGCATGTATCTTTGTCATCCTCTACCATCCTAACATTTACAAGAATAGTAGTAAATTTATGAACCTTGATCATGCTTCAGAAGATCTGGGCTTTAGTGCAATTCTGCTATCAATTAACTGTGTGATCTTTGACAAATCAAATGAGAGAATGTATGTTAAATGATGTGAAAGGAAAAAGTTCAGGTCATATTTCAGACATTATTATATTCAAAGAGTAGTCAACAAAATGATACCTGGTTGTCTTATTTATAAAGTGTCTTTTTATTTAAATAAATGATAGTATTTTGAAACTTTGAATTTTGCTTTGGAAATGGTATGCAGAATCTTTTAAATATGACCACCCGAGTGATGTTAAATATCATTTTATGTCATATCATATTTCTGAGCTGTGTTATGTTAAGCTTTCCTTTTATATAATCGTGAATGATTTGTACATATATGTATTTGATATGTGTGTATGTAGCATGTATTAATAATGCTTTGGTGGTATTAAATGGTATTTTTATGTATGTTTTGCTTTGAAAATTGGAGCTGTATCTGTGAATAATCCAGGGTTTAAATAAAAACAAAAATGAAAAGCCCTACAAAATGTATTTTCTTTAACCTTTAGCATTCCAAACTATATGTTGGAGCAAAGAGAACTGCCAATCCTCCTCACATTTTTGCAATGGCCGACTTAGGATATCAATCTATGATAACATATAATTCAGATCAGGTAAGAACAGTCTCACATACTTAGAACTTTCCCTCTTAGTTTCTTATGTGTCAGCTGAATTCTGTGAGGTAAAGTTTTCTCACGGTTCCTTTTTTCTGTGCAGTGCATTGTTATTTCTGGAGAGAGTGGTGCTGGGAAGACTGAAAGTGCTCATCTTTTAGTTCAGCAGCTGACAGTGCTTGGAAAGGTATAATTTATTTTTTCTCTAGCCTATCAGCAGTATTTGTTATATTTCAGAACTTGATATCAATTTGCCTGTGGAAATCTAGTTTGCTCAGCATCATGTCCTCTTGATGCCCTTGTCAAAAAGGAGTTGACCATGTGTGTTTGGATTTATTTCTGGGCTCTTTATTCTATTCTGCTGGTCTGCTGTCTGTTTTAATGCCAGTACTATACTATTTTTATGATTATAGCTTTGTAATATAATTTTGAATCAGAAAGTATGATGCCTCCAACTTTTCCTTTCTCAGAATTGTTTTGGCTCTTTCAGATCTTTTATATGGTTCTGTATAAATTTTAGGATTTTTTTTTCTGTGAAAAATGCCATTGGGATTTTGATAGGGACTGCACTGAATCTGTAGATTGTTTTGGATTGTATGGACATTTTAACATTATTATTAATAATTCTTCTGTTCCATGAGCATATCTTTCCATTTATTTGTGTCTCCTTCAATTTCTTTCATGAATGTTTTATGGTTTTCAGTGTACAGATCTTCCACACCCTTTGTTAAATTTATTCCTAGGTAACTTTTTTGATGCTTTTGTTCTTTTGTTAATGGGATTGTTTTCTTGATTTCTTTTTCAATTAGGTTGCTAGTTTTGTATATAAAAATGCTACTGATTTTTGTATATTGATTTTATGCCCTGCAACTTGTTAATTTATTAGTTCTAACAGGTTTTTTTTAATGAATCATTGGGGCTATTTACATATAGGATCATGTCAGCTGCAATTATTGTCCCCCCCTTATTCATGGTGGATACCCCTATATATACTATGATTTTCCTGTACATGCGTACCTATGATAAAGTTTAGTTTATAAATTAGGCACAGTAAGAGAGTAACAACAATAACTAATAATAAAATAGAACAATTATAACAATGCACTGTAATAAAAGTCATGTAAATGTGTTCTCTCAAAATATCTTATTGTTCCGTGCTCACCCTTCTTCTTGTGATGATGTGAGGTGAGACAAACCTACGTGATGAGACGAAGTGTGATGAGTCACGTGGGCATTGGGCTGCTACTGACCTTTGCTATTCCTGTGTCTGTGCAACCATCCCTTACTTGAAATAAAGGGCTTGGGGTTACATGCTTCAGGGGATCCCTTGCTGAAGTCTGCATACAGGCTCATTGCTTTCTGGTGCAACAAGTAGCCATCGACTGGAAAACATTTTCTGTGCATTTCTCCCACCCACAAATTGAATTCCTTTTCCAACCTTAACTAAGCACTTACCATGTACTGTGACTGTAACTTTTCAGTCTGAAGTACAACAGTGAAACTAGCATGAGTTTCTTTTTCCTTCTTCACAATTTCATGGATAGAAGATTCATTCTTACTATAGATCCTAGCAATCCAAGCATACAATTTTTTTCTTTCCTTTTTAAGTGGAAAACTTCCATCTTTTTATTTAAAAGAAACACTTTATGGCTACTCTTTGCTCATCTGCATTTCCAGCATCACTACTCTTGAGCTTTGGGGCCACTATCAAGCACTTGAACAAAAGCACTGTGATACTGCAGCAGTCGATCTGATAGCTGAGATGGCTGCTAAGTGACTAATGGGTGGGCAGCATATACAGTATGGATATGCTGGACAAGTGGATGAGTCACGTCCTGAGCAAGACAGAGCAGGATGGCACAAGATTTCATCAAGCCACTTAAAATGGCACATAATTTAAAACTTACGAATTGCTTCTTTCTAGGATTTTTCATTTAATATTTTTGGATTATGGTTGACTGTAGTTAACTGAAACTGTGGAAAGCCAAACACTGGAAAAGGGGGGACTACTGTAGAAATAATTTCACTTCTTCCTTTCTGATTTGGATACCTTTTATTTCTTTTTCTTGTCTGTCTGATTGCTCTTGCTAATACCTCCAGTGCTATGTTGAATAGAAGTGTTGAGAGTGGATACTTTTGCCTTATACCAGATTCTAGTAGAAAAGCTTTTAGTTTTTCCCCATTGATTTTAATGTTAGCTGTGGGTTTTCATAAATGGGACTTTCCTTCTATATCTCAGTTGTTGAGAGTTTTTATCAAAAAAGGATGTTGGACTCCGTTGGATACTTTTTCCACATCAATTGAGATGATCATATGATTTTTACCTTTCATTCTCTTAATGTAATACATTACATTGATTGATGTATATTCAGCCAGCTTTCCATGCCAGGGATAAACCCCACTTGGTCATGATATGTAATCTTTTTAATGTGTTGCTGGATTAGTATTGCTAATATTTTATTGAGGATTTTTACATCAAAGTTCATGAGAGAAATTGGCCTGTAATTTTCTTTTCTTGTGATGTCTTTGTCTGACTTAAGAATTCAGGTGATGCTGACCTCATAAAATGTGTACAGAAGTATTTCCTCTAGCTCTATTTTTTGGAGGAGTTTAAGAAATATTGAAATTATTTTTTCTTTGAATGTTTGGTAAAATTCAGCTATGAAGCCATCTGGTCCTGGGCTATTCTTTTTTGGGAAGTTTGTTATTACTTCTTCCGTCTCTTTATTTGTTATTGTTCTGTGCAAGTTTTCTATGTTTTCCTGACTCAATTTTGGTAAGTTGTATTTTTCTAGGAACTTATCCATTTCCTCTACTTTACCCAATTTGTTTGCAGATAATCATTTATAATAGTCCCTTATGATTCTTTTTGTTTCTGAGACTCTGTTACAATTTCCCTGCTTTCACTTTTGGTTTTATTTATTTGAATCTTCTCTCTTTTTTTCTTAGACTAGTTGTCTAGTCAATATTTGTTTTTTCAAAAAATCAACTTTTAGTTTTATTGATTCTTTCTATGGTTTTTCTGTTCTCTATTTGATTTATTTCTGCTCTGATTCTTCTTATTCTTTTCTTCCACTAATAATGGGTTTAATTTGTTGTTTTTCTAGTACCTTGAGGCATAATGTTAGACTATTTGGGATTTTTCTTCTTTTGTAATGTATGCATTAATTGCTCTTCCCTCTTAGAACTGCTTTTCATGCATCTCATAGGTTTTAGTATTTTGTATTTCCGTTGTCATTTGTCTGTAAATATTTTTATATTTTCCTTTTATTTTCTTCTTTGATCCACTGGTTGTTCAGAATGCAACACTGCATGTTGTTTAATTTTCACTATTTGTGAATTTTTCAAGATTCCTCCTGTTATTGATTTCTAGCTTCTTACCATTGCAGTTTGAAATAATACTAGATATGATTTCAGTCTTCTTACATTTGTTAAGACTTGTTTTGTGGCCTACCATATGGTCTATGGTCTATTGTGTAGAACATTCCATGTGCACTAGAGAAAAATGTATATTTAGTGGCTGATGGATGGAAAATTCTGTATATGTCTGTTAGGTCCATTTGGTCACAAGTGCAGTTCAAGTTCAGCATTTCCTTATTGATTTTTTGTCTGGATAGTTTATCTATTGCAAAGAGGGTATTAAAGTACCCTACTATTATTATATTGCTAGCTATTTCTCCCTTCATGTCCATTAATATTTGCTTTAGGTATTTAGGTGCTTCAATGTTGGATGCATATATATTTACAATGGTTATATCTCCTTGATGAATTGACCCTTTTATCATTAAATAATGGACTTCTTTGTCTCTTGCAATAGCTTTTGACTTAAAGTCTATTTTATCAGCTATAAGTATAGCCCGCCCTTGTCTCTTTTGGTTATCATTTGTGTGGGAATATCTTTTTCCGGAAATCCATTTACTTAAAGCCTAGGTATGTCCTTAAAGTTTATGTAGGTCTCTTGTAGGCAGCATATAGTTGGATATTGTTGTTTTTTTTATCCATTCAACCACTCTATGTCCTTTTTTTAGAGAAATTAGTCTATTTACATTCACGTAGTAAGAACTTACTACTGCCATCTTATTTGTTTTTGGATCGTTTTGTAGGTCCTTGTTCCTCTCTTCCTCTTTTGTGGTCTACCTTTGTGATTTGGTAATTTTCAGTACTGCTAAGCTTTGATTCCTTTCTCTTTATCATTGGTATATATATCTGCTACAGCTTTTTGTTTTGTGGTTATTAGGAGGCTTACATAAAACATCTTATAGTTATAATCTACTATTTTAACTTGATAACAACTTCTGGCACATAAAAAATTCTAGACTATGTCCAAGTATTACTCTGATAAAAATAAAGTTTTAAACAGTTAAAAAAAAAAACTCTAGACTTTTACACTCCCCACAATTTATGTTTTTGCTGTCACAATGTACATCTTTTTATATTGTGTATTCCTTAGCAAATTATTGTATGTGTAGCTATTTGGGGCCATTTTGACTTTTAACCTTCACTCTAGCGGTGTGTATGATTTACGCACTAGCATTAAAGTATTGGAATATTCTGGATTTGGCTATGAATTTACATCTACCAGTGAGTTTAATACTTTCATATGTATTAATGACAGTAAGTACCATCCTTTTGTTTCTACCTGAGGATCTCCTTTAAGCATTTCTTCTGAGGTGGGTATAGTGAATGAATTCCCTTAGCTTTTGCTTAACTGTGAAAGACTTTATTTCCCCTCATTTCTGAAGGATAGCTTTGCTGGCAGAGCAAGGTGTTTCCTTCTCTTCTCTGTGCTGCCATCCTGGGCATCTGTGCTCCTGGGATGCTGCTACTTTGCTGCTCTCCAGTGCTCCTTTAGTTATTTTGGTCAAAATGTAGTTGTTTACTTGTTGTTTTGGGGAGTTTGTGGGGGGAGCACTAGGAGCTTCTAGTGAGTCATCTTGTTGACGTCATTTCTAATTTCACAATGATAAGTAGGAAGAATTCCATGTTTCTGTTAAAAATTAATTGACCAATATGAATATTTTCTATCAGGTGTGTTATGTGAAATAGAGACATGCTCAGCTGATTAATATAATCTCTACTCACCAGACCTGTGACCCCTCAGGCCTGGAAGAGCCAGTAGAGACCAGGAAGGTGGTGCTACCCTGAGGGACCCGCCTCAGCCCCTTCCTCACCCGCCACCAGCCCCCCTCCCCTCCTACTTCTAGGATAAGTAGCATTCTGAAAGGTTTAATGACAGTGAAATAAGATGTGATATGGGGCGGGTTGGGGACAGTGAAGCACAGCATATATCCTGGCATATAAGAACTAGACACCTGGATTAATTTATTCAAAGGCCTTTCTAGTCTGTCTTGATTTGTGGGCTGATAGAGGTTCTCATCAATAATGGATTAACTATGTGAATGTTGGTTTGCAGATACCAGCAAACTTGTTAATCTAATCTCATTGTCTTGTTTTAGATCTAAAAATGTGATTTGATGTTAATTGGGGACAGATACATATATATATATCTCCAGATTCCTACCATTATCAGGTCTTATCTTGTTTTTTACTTAAGTCCTTGATAAAGATTTACCAGATGCAAAAATGGGGTGTTTGGTGAGTAGAATTTACCTTTGGAATATGCGGTCACTGCTATTTAATATAGGTGGATGAAGATATTATTTCACAAATTTCATGGGTGCACAGCCAGCCCAAAACAACATTTTATAATAGCCAATTTTGTCCTCAAAATCACTACTCTCTTCTGTCACCCCTTATTTCCTATTTTATAAGATACACAATGTCCTTATATAGCCTTAAAACCTCACTGTGATTGCCCCCTGTGGCCCACTCAAATCCTAATGTAGCCTATGTTCCAGAAATAGCTACTACTTCTCTCAATTTGTAAATTTCTATACCTTTAACACAGCTGCTCTCAGGGAGATATTAAGCTATTACACTGAAAATAATCTACTTGAGCTAATTTCTGCCAAGTTGTAAATGACTGATACCCCCCTAAACCTCTAAGAGTGGGTAGGAAGGCCTTTCTAAAAGTGGTTAGCTGTTAACGCAAATACATTTCCACTCTGAATTTCAACTAAAGTGGTAAAGAAGAAAAGTGGAACAATGCTTGCTTGGGGGGCAGAGCACAAGAGAGGGACAGCCACATAGGCCTGCTGGCCGAGACCCATGCACACTCCTAAGCTATTCTTAACTTTCACCGTGTTTCCCTTTCCCCGGCCTCTGAATTGGTAAATCATCTTTACTCTTAGTTTCAGAGTTAACAGTATCCATGGAAGCAAAGGAAGTGGTTCTGGCTTTGGTGAAGATTTGGTTGGGGGCCCTTGTAGGCAGAGGAGGAATGAATGACAAAATGACAGGTGTACCTCAATATGCATAGACCACTTACAAATTGTATTTGTAAATTAGGCACTGAACAGAGCTATATTTGAATAGAAAAATACACAGTATGCCTTCGCCCCTTTTAAAGAGAGCAAGTGAGTGAAGGCACATAAGGGAGGGGGAAATAGACCAGGTTGTAACATCTGGCAATATACCCAGAGCATGCTCTCATTCCTTTATGTCTACATAAAGTGCTTACTGAAGAAGAGACATTTTGTCATATACAAAATTAACTTTTTAACTTTTTTTATATCTTGACATTTTCTCTCTAGGCTAATAACAGAACCCTGCAAGAGAAGATTTTACAAGTGAACAATTTGGTAGAAGCCTTTGGCAATGCCTGCACTATTATAAATGACAACTCCAGCCGATTTGGAAAATACTTAGAAATGAAATTTACCTCATCTGGGGCTGTGGTGGGGGCACAGATTTCTGAATATCTTCTGGAAAAATCTCGAGTTATCCACCAAGCTATGTAAGTTCATGTCAAATATCTCTTGTTTTAGGGAAAACATAAGCAAAGATAGCATTTCTGATTGAATAGTAAAATGTCTTTCTCATGCAACAAAATTTTCTTGAGCACCTACTATGTGCAAGGCATTTATCACTGGAAACAGAGATCTCAACACTGCCTTACTCTCATGTATGTTATATCCAGCAGAGGAATTAATAAATAACCTAAAATTTATGCTACTGGGGAGAAAACCTAAGCTTATCATAAAGATACTAACAAAGGAAATTCAAGCAAGCTCTGAAGTAGAAGAGAATATGTTTCTCTACACAAAATTAATGTGAAGTTTAATTAGACTAACTTAGCCATTTTTCCCCCTTTTAAATGCTGGTGTATATACATAGACCTTTGTATTAATTCTGTTCTTCCTATATTTATAGACAAGGGACTAAATAAACCCCGTAAGTTTAAGCCATTAGTAGTAGTAGTAGGGTTGATGATTGTGAAGATGAGAAATAACATCTAGCATAGTACCTGGGATTTCAAAGGTGTTTAATAAACAGCAGCTACTATTGATTGATGTGTATTTCAAGCACTAAGAACTTAGTGGATATGCATGTCAACACCTTTGTCACATGTACCTAGAAGGACCCCAGGGTCTTACTTGACTCTCAAAAGTATTTGTTCTGTTCTCATAATTGTGTAAGCCTCTCCTCAGGCCTTTGGTGAGAACTACTCAAGAGTAACTTGCTGACACATTGCACAATGTCAAGGCACATCATTCACGGTGTGTTCCATGGAGTTACGTGCAGGGACACCATTCGCATAGAATGTCATGTGAGCAGTACCCTCTAGAGTTACATAGTGAGACCCTGGGTTTGAAACCATACAAATAATCTCATCAATACTTACTGAAATAAGGCAGGTTGTATTCTAAGAAATAACATAATTGGGATCATATTTAAAGCATGCTATGAATTAATTAAGGCTTTTTCCCCAGCTGGCCTGAAGATCTTTTCGAGTTTTACAACACTGTTTATTGGGGAAAAGCACTCCAAGTTCCAAAGTCACAATCAGGTTGGAATACAACTCAATTATAATTTGAACACAGCTATTTTATAATTGATAGTGAAAACATTTTTCCATTTTTGTATCTATTTTTTTTCTTTTACTTAATTGGAATTGCATTCTTAAGTTCTAGAGAAGCTTTTTGTGACCTATAAAAATAGAAATATCAGGCATGTGGTAGAAGAATTCTCAGTAGTTACATTATTTAATTATACATTTATTATAAATACACTATATCAATCAGGGCAGTGAAAGGAAAGAGCAAGTTCGAAGGGTTTAGCTAAGAAAATTATTTACGGATGTCAAATGGGTGTTGAAGAACCAAGAATGAATGGGAAGCCGCCCATGGAATAACCAGGGTGGGGAACTAGGGCTCTGGGGGCAGAGGGAAGGGCAGGGGGAAGGGAGGGGGAAGGCAGGGGGAAGGGCAGGGGGAAGGCAGGGGGAAGGGCAGGGGGAAGGGCAGAGGGAAGGGCAGGGGGAGGGCAGGGGGAAGGGCAGAGGGAAGGGCAGGGGGAGGGCAGGGGGAAGGGCAGGGGGAGGGCAGAGGGAAGGGCAAGGGGAAGGGCAGGGGAAGGGCAGAGGGAAGGGCAGGGGGAGGGCTGGGGAATGGCGGGGGAGGATAGAAGGAAGTGCAGGGGGAGAACAGGGTCCAGAGCTGGTGGGAGCTGTAGCCATGGGGCAGGGGCTGCCTGTTGGGAGCTGTGGCCTTAAAGGGCTGCAGCCAGTGAAGGCGAGAGCAGAGAGCAAGGCAGTGAATACCCCACCTCTCTCCTCCCTCTGCCTCCTGCCTGCGCTTCCTGTTGGCTAATGCCAAATGGAAGCCAGTGAGCAGGGGAGTCCAGGGGCTGAGGCTCCCCTGGAGTCCAGGGGAGTCCAGGCTCTGCAGAGCCTGATCTTTGGGGTCACACAGCAAAGCCAAGCAGTGGGGAATCAACCTTAGGGGCAGGGAATAACCAGAGCAGACAAGTATTTTTTTAATGGCATGCCCATTTCTTTTAAGAGAATTAGTTCTTGTCTTTCTGCCTCTGCCTGTGTCATTCCACCTCAATCTCTGACCACATTTATTTTTAAATGACCTTTCTAATGATGTTACTATTTTATAACTTGACTTAAATCATTTTTTTAAAAAAATGATAATTTTAAGGAAGAAAATTTAATAAGAGGTTACTTAATTTCAAGAAGAAAATGAGCATAGTGTAGGCAATGCTAGATAATTCTCGTAAATATAAATTATAGCTATTTCCGCCACCATTTTGTCCTGTTCCTACAGTTCAGTTCAGCGAACATGGGTTACAGCTCTCTCACGTGGCCAACACTTTGCTGGACTCTATAGGGGACATAAACAAGTGGCAGGTGTGGTGCTCTCTACAGTGGGGGAAATAAAAATATATTATGCAGCAATTACTCTGTGTCAGGCACTGTGCTAAGCACCTTGCAGCCATTATCTCTTTCAATTCTGGCAGTCATGTGCAATTAGTGTGTTATTGTCTCTTTTATACATGAGGAGAGAGACTAAGAGAATTTTAATAAGTTGCCTAATGTCAAAAAGCTAGTAAGTGAGTTGAGTTTGAACTCTTGTCTCTCTGACCCCAAAGCCCACCATTCATTCATACATTCACCATCCATCCATCCGATATTTGTTGAGCACCTGCTGTGTGCTGGGCACAGGAACTATACAGCTGAATGAGAAAGGATTCCTGGGTAACGCAGTTCACTGTCTGGAGAGCCCCGTGTGCCTTAGTACAAAGCTTGCTGGTCACTCATCGGTTCTAGTCTCTCGGGAAAGTAGGAAATGAGTTTATCTGCGAAGAGCCAGCAGGTAGATGGCAAGAGAGGGAGACTGAGAAGACTGGATATCCAGGAAGAGCGTGTCTAGGAGGAGGAAGCTGTAATTAAAAATGGAAAACTAAAAGCACTATTTTATGAATACCCATGGGGCCTTAAGAATGCAAAGCTTCATTATTCAGTTTCCAGTGGAGCCTTATGGTTGGCCGCTTGGTTGAAGATTCAGAGGTTTCATAGGTGAATTAAGCCACATGCTTGTGAGGGCTTTGCCACAGTTTTGAAGGTGTCAGACGCCTTGGCTGCATGGGTGGTCCCAGGGTCCAAGGCAGATGCACCCGTGTGAGAGAGCGCCGCGGGCCTGCCCGCAAGCGGCTGAGTGGAACTCACTGTGGGGAAGTATTAGAGGATCCACAAGTAGGAGCAGGGTCAGAGTCAGAGGAATATTATTTGGTAACTTGCTGAGACCCTACGTCTGTCCCCAGGCGGTCTGGGCCTGGAACCACTGGTCACATTGGCGAGTGCGGGTGCTGTGGTGCTCTGCCTTCTTAAGCACAGTTTGATGTAGGTAGGACCAGGGCATGAGACGGGTAATCTTTGGAGATACCTTCTTTTCCTGTCTCTTTAACTCTCTGATTGTTTATCCACTGAAGGTCAGTATATTTCCCATAATATCTCCAGGTCTTGTCAAATTACAATTCTCAGTAAATGTAAACTAATAATTAAAGAGAAATACACTAATTTTGTGTGTCTACATTTCTGAGTCACTTCACTAATTGTACATTGCATCATTTAAGTGTTAAAGATGTGACAACTCGAGCAATCAGGGTGATTTCATTAGAACAAAGCAAACCAAATTATATGCTGTGCCAGTCCTAGAGAAGTCTTCATTATTTCATGGTGAGAAAAGACAAGAACTAAAAGAAACTTTTAGTTTTGTTCTAACCTCGCTCATGTGCGATGCCGTGTTTGTTGCGGTATCCCTGGTGACTGCAACAAGGAAGAGATGTGGGTATGGAACATGGGACTCTGAGACATTCTAGAAAGGATGTGACACCCTCCCGTCCTGCCTGTGGACCACCTTTCCTTGTTCTGTGACCAGCTCCTCCTGATTCTTCTCCCACCTCTCTGAATTTTTCTGCACTGACTTAGATTTATCCATGCATTCCCCAAATGTATACTTACCAAAGATTTTTCCTTGAAACTCTTCTCTTTTCTCTCTATATGCTGTCACTTTGCAGTTTCTTCTGACATCATGGCCTCAACAGATAGCTCTATGGGACTGACACCCAAAGACATATCTTTCCCCCTCTCCTGAGTTCACATTTTCCATTTCCAGCTACCCAAGTGTCCTGCTGCCATCTCCAATTCAGCCCAATACACATCCCAAATCTGTTTCTTTTCTCGTAGCCCCTTTCTTTTGGAATGGAACTGTTCTAGTTAGATAAAACCTCTGTCTCTTCATTTTCTATGTCTAAATATTTGTGCAGATGTGTTAGTTCACCTCTATAATTATATTATTATCTCTTCTGTACTTTCTCTTCCTCTGATGCTATTTTACCTCACACCCTTGTTGCTTATGATCCAGATATTTGAAAGATTTGGATCTCCTGGGCATTTGACTTCTCTTCCAAGGCTTAGTAATATTATTCCTCCCCAGACTCATGGGAGAGTCTCGACCCAGAGTGCACACTAATCAATTGCACTGTTACTCATCTCTTCCTTTTGAAACACTAACAAGGAAGAGCAGAGATCTCTGCATTCTTCACTTTATCAGGTTCTACACTTTCATATTAAGTATTTCTCTTAAATTTCAATGAATGCCAAAAGGAGTATCTTGAATAGTCATTGGTGTGGCATAAATATCAAACCTTTAACCATGTTATTTAAAACCTACATGAATTGTGTGTTGGAGCGCTGAATGAGCTTCTCGAAAACTTTTCTTATACTGGTTTTTCTCAAAGCCTTGAACAAAGACTAGAAATTACAAAATAAAGCCATAGATGTTACTCCAAACATCTTTTACTGCATTATTGGAAAAATAAACATATATGGATATGTTTGAGTTACCATTGATTCTGAGGAAAACGTCTGTGTACTGAAAGTAAAAATAATTTCTAAAGAGAGCACAGGTACAATTGCCATCACCACTGAGATTATACCGCATAACATATAGGAGGAGAAGGCACAGGAAAGTTTTTAAATCCTTTCTTACCTGTTAGGTAAAATAATTTGTGTATAAATATGCATATCACAAAGTAGGCTTTTTTTTCTATTGCATGTACTTCGTGTAGAAAAGCTTATTTGTTCAAGGAAAAAAACAGCTTAATAATAATAATTCCTTTTCTGAAAATATTTCATTGCTCCCCTAAGATTGCTGATAAAAGTTGTGGAGTGGGTGGGGGAGACCAGCTGCCCCTGGAGTTTCCATGTGGAGGGTGACGAGGGGCACCCTGGGCACAGCTTGGGCCACTAAGTGTGACAGGAAGGGAACAGCCACAGCAACAGCTCAGTGTCTCCTGACCCAAGCCTGTGGCAACCTCCAGAACTATGTGTTAAGGTGAGTGTTTCATACTAACTGAAAGAGAAGTATTAATAATAATGGAAAGGAGTGATGGCAGCAAGGCCTTCGGGTTTGAGATGTTACCATTCATTTAACCCCTGGAAGAGGAACCCTCTCCTGCCCCAACCATAGTCTGGGAGCCTGGTGATAATTTAGGACCACCCTAAACAAGAGAGGGTCCAGTGGGAATGCCACTGGGAAATGCAAACCCCAGGGTCTCCCAGAAGGCCAGTAGTGTCATGGAGACTGGAAGGAAGCAAAGCAGGGCCGAAGAAGAGGCAGTGGAGATGGGGAAGCCACAAGCAGGGGTGTCATCCTCAGCTATTTCAGAAGAGAGCTGGAAAGTGTGGTCTGCCCCCTGAGCTCACCAGGGCCAAAGGAAGATGTGAGGGAGGCAGGAGAGGGTAACCCCGAGGCCCCACCCATTGTGCTGTAGAACATCCTGAGCCGGAGGCTCGCCGGCTGTGATCCATGTTCGCTTGGTGGCGTTACTCCAGCAACTGGGAAACACTGTTTATGCTACTTAGAATTATAGAATCCTGGAATTCGAGACTTACAAGATAAAAGATTCCTCATATAAGTGAGAAAACTGAGCCTCAGAAGGTTAGTGTGAACAGGTGGTTAAAGACATGGGCTGTGGAGTCCAGTAGACCTGGTTTGAATCCAGGGTAGTCATCAGCTCTGTGACTTTGGGGGAGATTGTAGCTCTAAGCCTCAGTCTCCTTTATGTAAAATGGGGAGAGCATGCCCACCTCAGCGAGTCATGGGGGGCTCATGAGATAATGTAGCACTTACTACCATCTGGCCTGGCATGCTATATATTAATGCATTGTTTCTTTTTCTGTCTGCTCCATTGGCATGCAGAATTTAGGGATTTTTGACTGTTTGCTGATGCTATATCCCCAGTGCCTGGAACAATGCCTGGAACTCAGTCATAAATATATATTGAATGATTCACACAAAGTGATTATTATGGTGTCTAGAATTTAATGACAGTGGTTGTTGAAAATAATGACAATAGCAACCACAGAAAGCCAAAATGCAGCATTCAGGAAGCCCAGATCAGCACTCACAGTTGTTGATTTAATCAACATATCTCCAAGTAATTTTAGCAATCAATATGCATTCTTACTAACCTCCTTATTGAAAATGTCTTATTTTTTCAGTGGAGAAAAAAATTTTCATATTTTTTACTACATTTATGCTGGTTTAGCTGAAAAGAAGAAACTAGCCCATTACAAATTGCCTGATAATAAGCCTCCCAGGTAATGCACCAGTTTGTACTTTCATAAGTAATACTTCCACTTTCCACTTAATTTTAGAGTTTTACCTTTTCTTTCATATTTTTTCAGGTACCTACAAAATGACCACCTCAGAACAGTACAGGACATGATGAATAATAGTTTCTATAAATCCCAGTATGAATTAGTTGAGCAATGTTTCAAAATCATAGGTTTTACTATGGAGGTAAGTAGAAAAGACATTTGAACCTCTTTAGGAAGTATCTTTTTATCATTGCTAAGGGTAAGAATTAGCATTTATTGAGTGATTAATATAAACCAGGCTAAGTGCTTTACATGGATCTAAACAACCTTATGAAATAAATGTAAATGTGATATTTACTTCATAGACGAAGAAATAATGGCCTTGAGATATAACTGAATTTGGTTTTGTTCTTAGTATTTTATTTTACTTACACTTGCATCTCCCACATATATAAAAAGTTTTACATAAATGCATGCATGTGCATGTTATTTTTAGTGCAGTCTTTTTTATAACTTTATTAATTGACATACCATACAATCTACCCATTTAAAGTGTACATTTCAGTGACTTTTTTTATATTCATAGAGTTGTATATCTGTCACCATAATCATTTTTAGAATTTTGTCATGTTCTAAATTTTTCTCCTCATAGCCGGGCATGGTGGCACATGCCTGTAGTCCCAGCTACTCGGGAAGCTGAGGCAGGAGGATCACTTGAGCCCAGGAGTTTGAGGTTGCTGTGAGCTAGGCTGACGCCACGGCGGCACTCACTGTAGCCTGGACAACAAAGCGACTCTGTCTCGAAAAAAAAAGAAAAAAAAGAGATACATTTTTCTCCTCAAAAAGAAACATGGCAGCAATTAGCAGTTACTTCCTGTTCCAAGTTCAACCCTACTTTCTATCACTATAAATCTACTTATTCTGGACATGGGATGTCTAAATGGGATCATATATTATGTGGTCCTTTGTGACTGGTTTCTCTCACTCAGCCTAATGTTTTTGAGGTTCATCCATGTTGCACATGTATCAGTACTGCATTTTTTTTATCCTTGAATAATATTCCATTTAATGGATAGACCTCATGTTACTTGTTCATTCATCATTTGATGGACATTTGGGTTGTTTCCACTTTTTGGCTATTATGAATAATGCTTCTATGAACACTAATGTACAAGGTTTTATGCAGACGTAAGTTTTCATTCCTCTTTGGTATATACCTAGTAGTTGAATTGTTGGATTGGAGGGTAACTCTTGTGTTTAACCTTTTCAGGAATTGCCAGACTGTTTTCCAAAGTGGCTGCATCATTTTACATTCTCACCAGCACTGTGTAAAGGTTCCAATCTCTCCCCATCTTCACCAGTACTTACTGTTATCTGTCTTTTTGACTATACCCATTCCAGTGGATGTGACGTTGTATCTCATGATGGTTTTGCTTTGAATTTCCCTAATGACTTATGATGCTAAACTTCTTTTCACGTACTTATTGGTCATTTGTATATCATCTTTGGAGAAATGCCTACTCAGATATTTTGCCTGTTTTTAATTGGGTTATTTGTCTTTTTATTATTGAGTTATAAGAATACTTTATATTCTAGGTACTAGCCTCTGATCAGATGCATGATTTGGAAAAATTGTCTTCCTTTTTTTGTCTTTTCACTTTCTTGAAAAGTCCTTTAAAGCATGGAAGTTTTTAAATTTTATGATGTTCAATGTATCCATTTTTTCTTTTGTTGCTTATGACTTCAGTGTCACATAAGAAACCATTGCCTTATCCAGAGTCAGAAATTCCTAAGCTTTCTTCTAAGAGTTGTACAGTTTTAGCTCTTAAATTTATGTCATCATTCCATTTTGAGTTAATTTTTGTGTATGGTGTGAGGTATGGGTCCAGCTTCATTCTTTTGCTTGTGGATATCCAGTGTACCAGCACCATTTGTTAAAAAGACTTTTCTTTCCCCACTGAATGTTCTTGGCATCTTGGTCAAAAATCAATTGACTACAAATGCATAGGTTTATTTCTGGTCTCTTAATTCTGTTCCACTGATTTATATGTCTATCCTTAAACCAGTACCACATTTGATTACTGTGGTAAAAGCTTTGGAGTTAGTTTTGAAATTGGGAAGTGTGAGTCCTCCAACTTTTAAATCTTTTTAAAGATTGTCAATTTCCAGTGCAGATTTTTTAAAAGCTTCTTTTTTGCTCAGCTTTCTCTTCCCCATCTTGCTCCCTTTCATCCACATCTGTTTTCTTTTTCTCTCCCCTCAGCAAATGGATATTAACAACCCAATATATATAGTCCAATATTCCATATTTATCTCCTGCTCCTAGAGTCCTGTTTGTAGACACCCCATACACACATACAGACACACACATACACAGACACACACAGTTGCAAATATGTGCATTGCATATATCTGGAGATGTGGTCATTGTTTTATTAATATAGGATTGTATTATACACACTTCTTTACATCTGATTTTTCCTATTCAGCAATGTCTGTGAAAATTCCTTCAAGCCACCTAGTATATCACTGAAACACTCCTTTTAAAGGTAATACAGTGTCCCATGGTGTATTACTACCATAGTTTATTCAGCCATTCAGCTATGACTGGGCATACAACTATTGATGTTTCCAGATCTTTTCCACCACAAGCAAAGCTGAAGTATGTCCTCATTTACTGTTCTGTCTATGGGACAGGTTCCTAGTAGTGGTACTGCTCAGTTTCTATGGGATAGATAGGTTCCTAGCAGTGCTGCTGCTGGGTTCAAGAGTATATGTATTTTAATTTTGACTAGAAATTGCAAGATCGCCTTCCAATAATTCTGTAATGCTTCACATTTCCATTAACAATGCATGTGAATACTCTTTCTCCACTCATTCCTGCCAGCAATATGTTGCAGCTTTTTAAACATTTGCTAGTCTGATGGGTGAAAGTAACATCTCATTTCTAGTTTGCGCATCCTTAACTAATAGTATATTTGAACATCTTTCCATTTGTTTGCCAGCTGCTTAGGCTAATACCCTTATGAATTGTATATTTATATATGTTGCCCTTTTATTGAATTATTTATATGCTTTATGCCAATTTGTGAGTGCTCATTGAATGTTGTAGACATTATCATTTGTGTTATAAATGTTTCCAGTTGTATGACTTGTCTGTGACTTCCTTTTGTCACATTGTTTACCATAAAAAAATTTTAAATTTTTGTATATTCAAACAAGTTTATCTTTTTGTTTATAACATCTAGATTTCGAGTCTTTGTTTAGGTTGTACTTGTAGTCTCCTAGATTTTCTTGAAACTTTAAAAAGTAAATTTATCTTAAATTCATTTGAAATTTACTTTATGGTACCAAATGATGCGCCACTTTTCTTTTTCTATATGGAGAGGAGATTTTGCCGTTACTGATACTAAATATTATATCCTTTTCCCACTAGATTGACTTACCATATATTAAGGCCTTATATGACACAGGATCTATTTCTGATACCTCTGTTTTATCCACTGATCTATGTTTTCCATCTCTGTAGCAACATTCTGTTGACTTGATTACAATGGTTTGAATCTATATGTTTTTCTAGTAAGGCATCCTATCTGATAAGGCAAGTCCTAATCTCACTTTCTTCTTCTCCATACTTTTCTTAGCTATTGTCTAGCAGCTGTTTGTCCATATTAACTTTAAGATCAATTTATTCCATTCCCAGAACCCTAGTTGGAATTCCAATTAGAATTGCATTAAATTTATACATTAATTTTGGGAGCACTGTCATTTGTATGATATTATATCTTCTCAGCCCAAATTATAAGATGACTTACTTTTTTTGATATCCTTTCCATTTGTTTATATGTTATTTTGAGTTTTAAAAAATAATCTATAGTTTTATTCATCTAGAATTTGTGCCTTATTTTTAAATTTATTTATAATTGTTATGGTTTTTATTCTAAATATAATGTTTTTTCCATTGGTAGAATCTTCTACATATATAATCATGTCATCAGCAAAAAGAATAGTTTTAACCCTTTTATCTTATGGCAGTCACTTTTTCTTTTATGTACTTAAGACATCTAACACTAGTCTACGTCAATATTAAATAACAATGATTATAGTTTGCCTCTCTGTCTAATTTCTGATTTTAAGTGAAATGATTTTAGTATTTTGCTGATATTTTTTATAAAGAATATTTTATTTTATTACTATTTTACTTGCATTTGTTATTAGGAATTCTGCTGAATTTTACCCAATGTTTTTTCAGCAGCTATTGATATAATCATATTTTTTTCCTAAAGCAGTTTGTTGATATCTCTTATTATGTTGACAGATTTCTTAATATTTAAGTATCCTCACATCTTTGGGAAAATCCCAATATAGTTAAACTGAATTACTCTTTTGATAAATTTCTGGATCTATGGGCTAGTGTTTTACTTGGAATTTTTGCACCTATATACAGGGTATCCCAAAAGTCCCCACACAAAGGAAACATTTTGTAAAATTTTGTGATGAATATTTTGTATTTTGTAAATAAAGATACATTTAGATACAATTTCACATTTTCCCTATATATGGTGACTTTGGGGATGCCCTGTTTTTATCAATGAAATTTATCTATTGTTTTAGCTTTTTTATAGCAGATTTGAGTACTAAAGTTATGCCAGTGAGCTTTTTTATCTCTTTCTTTGGCCTCTGAGAGTTAAAATCAGTTCCCAGTGTTCTCTGAAGATAAGAAGCACCTGGACACAGATACATGCGTGTGGACCACACCCTCTGTGGAAGAATTTCCAGGGAAGAGACCTAGTAACCTGTGCCTTTCACAGGCAACCCCACGTGATTCTTACCATTAGAGAAGATCAAGGACAGTGGCTCTTAAAGCTTAGAATTAAGAAATTTAAAAAAAATTTTTTTTAATTAGGTGAAACTCAGCGTGCCTGTGGTCCTGGGCCTTTTTAATATTGAGTTTTTAGTCACCTTTCTGAGTCTTCTATGACAATTATGTATTCAAATTTCTATTTTCTATTTGGGTTATTTGTATTTTGCTAAGAAATTATAATCAAATGTCATGCCATAGATTTGCTTGCTGATTTTTCTTATAATACTTTATATTTACCCTGTATCTCTGGCTTTGTTTCCTTTCCCATTCTAATCATATGTACTTTCTGGACTTGTTCTTTTTTATCTTTAATTGAAGTTACAGGGGATTTTCAATCT